GAGATGAGAACATCGACGGCGGGTGACAGGAGGTGATAACAGCTGATATGGGCTAATAAGGAACGTTACCGTTGTTGTTCAGTCAAAGTGTTGGGTGCACTACCAAATAATAGAGCTTTAGTGATAGGGAACTGATGAACAGGCAATCTTATCAATTGACAAGAAAGGATAAGGGGCTGTTATCATTACATTATCCTTACATCTCCTACCACTATACTGCCAAGTATTGAAGGCTCAGTGTGCAAACTTCTCCTTTTCCTCTCCTCCCTCCGATCACGGCCGAGTGTGCTTTCAATGCTACAAATAGGGAACTTTTATGAAAAAGCGATACAATTATTGATTCCTCATTCATATGTAACGCCATAGATTCGACTGCTTTCAGGCGTTTTGTATACCAGTTGTTGAGCGAGATACGGCATACATTCTGGAAACATTAAATGGTCTGTTCACGAATCTCGAAGAGGAGTTCAAGTATGTCGGGGGGGGGGGGAGGCTTGCATTTTCGCTGATCCCTGAATCTATTCAGTTTGCCCCACATCTTCTAGAGCATCAAGCGAATGTTCTTATTTACAGAGAAGATGTGGTCTTCATTGTGATATTTGCCTATGAAGACCTAAAGAAAAAGTCCTTCAAAGATCAGGTGGAGGAGCTAATGGCAGAATTTCCTTCTGAGATTCAGACAGGATTACTTGAGGTAAGGGAAAGGAGAAAATAATCTTTGAACGCTAGGTGCCTTCTCTACCGGAGCTGAAATCGTCGCAAGTAGTCGGGGCGCTGCTAGGCGGGGCGTAACAAGTCTGTATACGGCTGATTGGTTAGTGACCGGTTCAGGAGGAAAACGACCTGTGGTCGGAAAACGTAGCGGGTGGGCTCATCGCATGCCTTTTGACACCGCCCTGATCGATTGTGACGATATAAACTGCACATCGCGCTAAGGATTATTTAGGATAGCGAAATCATGCTTTGAATAATTGTTCTGCAGTAATCGAATAGGCGGCGGATAGTCCAAAGACTCACAACAATCGTGCCTCCCCCAAATGTCCTTTCGCTTCTCACAAGGTGTTATGCGTCAATATTCAAGGTACAATGGCAGTGAGTCCCCTATTGAATCCCCGCCCACTCGGTTAGCCCGAAATGAATTTGCAAGGCTCGTTCATACTTTTCGACAGCGTCCACCAGCGACCAATAACGTCCACCAGCGTTCCGAACGTCCGGCAGCGTCAGCGACTAGGAAAGTATAGATATTGTATTGCCTGCTGGCGTCTGCCAGCGTCTACGAGCGATCCTATATCTCTATAATCGGCCCTTGCCGGAAATCATCCTACTATATATAATCGGCTATGTCCGTGTGTGTGTGTGTGTGTGTGTGTGTGTGTGTGTGTGTGTGTGTGTGTGTGTGTGTGTGTGTGTGTGTGTGTGTGTGTGTGTGTGTGTGTGCGTCTGTCTGTCTGTCACGAAATTCATAGCGAGCGTCGCAGAAAGATAGGAATGACACAGTTCAAGAAGTGGTATTTACAAGGCAGGAACGCGGGCACAACTCTTTGGTGGGTGACAGAGCGTGATAACACCTGATACATATTCGCATAAGGGCTTAGCAAGGGGGAGGAGTAGACGAAGTTCCGTGGCAAGTTGCCAGCAGCTGCGGACCGGTGACATTCTCAAGAAGTATTTCACGGTAGGAGGTGTGGCTGACAGGAGCTGATAACATCTGATAAGATCCGATAAGGGACCCTAGACGCGGGTGTCACCAAATTCTTAGCGCAGGTTGCAGCGACCGTGGGACCTTGATTTCAAGATGTGGTATAGGGTAAGGGAAGTGGACATGATTGGTGTGTGACAGAAGCTGATAACATCTGATAAGATTCGATAAGGGGCCTTAGATGCGGAGGGTCACCAACTTTGTAGGGCAGGTTGCAGGGTCTGTGGGACCTTGGTTAAAAAAAGTGGTATAGGGGGAGGAGGGAGGGAACCCACTAACGGGTGACACTAAGTGACAGCAACTGATAAGAGTTGAAATCCGCAACACCGCTTACTGCCACAATGCGCTTGATATGACAGGTATCAGGCTTTCAGTAGTCGTACATAACTCACTCCTATGCTCACACCGCTATCGACATGATGTACGGCCGCTAAAGCAACTGGAGTTCAGATGCATGACGGTTGTTTACGAGTGATCAGCAGCATCCAGGAAGTGAGAGCGTGGGGAGATGGCATAGTAGCAGACTGCATGTAAGTAGTATAGCGCAATAGGAGGGTAGTAGACAACTGGTACCCTTCTATCGCCCCATACTGTGAACCAAAGACACTGGCAGACGCTACCTCGATATTCATACTTTCCTAGCTGATGAAACTGCTGGACGTTCGGAACGGTGGACGCTATCCGGTGGTTGACGCTGCGCAACAGTAATTAAAATGGCCCCAAGCTCGCTGCTTTATCATTAAGCTAGCTGCTATTCCACCAGATGGTACGCATCTGTGGGCACACTGCGACTTCCGTTGGGAACCGACATTCAACGATTCTAAGGCGAGAATGCTATGGAGAACCAAACAGAATCTTGGTAATCCTCTGTTTACTAGAGTTATCTTTTGTTCAATTGTTTTTCTCTTCTCTCGCGATACAATAGGAAATAGGTCAGCACAAGAAGCGGGAGCTGGGAGACGGACAATACAATCGTTAGTTCGTCACGGCGCTGGTGCGGACAAATATATTTATCCGCCAAACGCCCACTGATGCAGCAATTATGTTGAATTCGAGAAGAGACAAGATTTCATGGCGACCGATGTCGAATATTTCCGTCTCTGCCAACTCAGGGGCAACTCGTCCATCGGTCGCACTGTCGTCCGCCACGCCCATCAGCGCGGTATATTGCGGTTGTCTTGTGACATTGTCGTGAGCGAGAGCGCCTACCCTCATGGACTCGCTACAGGAACCTTCTATTTGCACAAGAAAATTGGACTCCAAGCTAATAGTGGACTTAAGCGTCGGAAAGCTTAGCAAAATGGACCTCATTGAGCGAAGGCCTCACACAGAGACATCATGCAGATCCACTTTGGCTGCCAAGACTGAAACCACTCAAGAGATCATATGATATTTGAGGCAGCCAGTAGAAAGAGCTGAGAGCGTTTGGGGAGGGGCATTTTGCACTTTTCCACTTCCTTTTGCCACGTTATGTTAAACAACAGCTGCAAACACTTGTGCAGTTGCGAAATGGTACAAGTAAACAACTTTGCTTACAAGAAGTTACATCTCTTCACAAGGTGACCTGTCACACTTTGCTAGGCGAATGCGCTAATAACCCTGGTAGCTTATTGTGAGCGTTTGGGCGCAAGAGATTAAATGCAAGAAGGAGAAGTAGATCATGGTTTGGCCAGGGAATGTACAAGTGATCCACACTCATCGCTATAAAGCGCTAGTAAAGCGGAATGGTAGAGGCGGATCCAGCTTACGGGGGTGGGGCTAGCTGAATTCCGCTGGGCTCGATGCTTTTATCCAGCATTTTCCGAGGCGGAACGGAAAGATGCATCTCGGTTAGCGGACCGCACAGATTTGTCGGCAAAGGGTCTCTTTACCGGCGTTGCTCTGATGGCGACGCTGATTGATAATGAGTTGAGGCCATTACTCAGGAGCTTTTCGGACACGGGAGGCGGGGGGGGCAAAGAATTCGGGTTGGGTATAGACGCATTTACTATCAGGTGGGGGAGAGAGCAGGCAAGCAGAAATGGCGTGATATAGCGGAGCGGATAGGTTCCGCCCCTCCCCATTACATTGTCTTCAGAAATGCTAGAACCATCTGTGCAATTTGCCACATTTTTCAAAGTGATGGTCAGATGGGGGACTTTTTCTCGTGGGTAAGGATTGGCTAGAATTTCGTACCCAGGGCCGATTTGGCCTCCTGAGCACGGGCTTCACACAAGCTCAGAGTTGCAACGACGGTACATCGCTACTTGTGCCCACACTAAGAGTACTTGTGTCGCTTAACTGGTCAGCTGCCCTACTAGCTTTCCAACACGAATTGTCCGTTGTTCACGAACCCTCTGGCTCACCAGGAGCCACCTCTGTCCCACGGGGGGGGGGTCCTAGGGGAATTCGCCCGCGGTAGGATTGGGGGAGGACAGCACGGCAATCGTAAGAACATGTCCTCGAGGTATCCCCTTTTTCCACTTGGTCCTACCAGTTTGTCTCACCACCAGCCACAACCGCACTATAACCTGATCGTACCCTAACCCGACCTCGGGAAAAAGTAATCAAAATACCAAAACCACAATAATGTCCAGAATAAAGCAAACAACACCACAGTTACCACGAGCAACCGATTTTTACGAAGAAGTAACAAAGAGCTATCCAGTGCTCAAGTAGGACTATCCTGACGTTCCTCTATGTTCCGTACCTGATTCATACTCTTGGCTCCTACCGTGTTGCACTGACCGTACATGGCTGCCTATAAGGACAGAGGTAGTGACGCTGGTGCTTGCTGGGATTGTGGGGATGGAGAATTTGGTTTGACGCGGCCCGTTCTCCCCCTACTGTTGAAGTGAGAGGGTGACAACAGTTGGAGGAAGACGAGCTAGTGCCGCGCCAACCCCTTGCCTCTACTGCCCCAGCTTTTGCAGCAAATCGACTGTAGCCATCAGTGGCGCCCTGGCGTTCCCTTTTTTGTGCCCGTAAACGCAGCAGCACAAGTTGGCCGCAAGTCCACTAGCGTGACGCAGAGTGAGAGAGACCTCAAAACTGATTTAGGCGAATAATATTCGACTACATAGAAC